CTATTTACATAAAGGTATGCTTTTATAGGTAGAAACGGTAGTTGACCACGTGTGTGTGATTTGCTTGTTTTAATGCATCAGCTGTCTTTTCGTGCATAATTGATGGGCTTTATAAGCGCCCGCTTTTTTTGGGTCCGACCGGCTACAGCACTGTTTTCGATTGCTAATAGAGTGCACAACAGCTGGCGTGCGAGTAGCAACTGTCTTATGGATAAGAAGAACTCTAGTGGAGGACTCATGGACTGATGGTTATTTCGTTTCGGATATCTACTGCTGACTCCGTTTATACTGACTATATCAAAACGCTATTTCCATCTTCCCCCTAAACTCCGACTCCTGTGATCTTGACTGCAGCCCACCCAAAAATGCCCCAAAACCCACCCCCTACCATGCCAGACGTTTCCAGTGGAAAGTATGGATGTACGGTGCACGAACTACAGGAGATGATGCAACTGCGAGGGGTCGAGGCTGTCGATTATGTTAAATCAAAATACGGTGGTATCGATGGACTATGCAAACGATTGAGAACCTCCCCTCACAATGGTGAGCCTTGTGCATTTTCATGCTTTCATGGTTTTCTTCGCAGTCTGATTGTTATTTTAAAATTTTTCAAAATTTCGTAGACCATATTCCATCTGAAATAATTTTCTGACAAAGTACGAGTATTTTCTTAAAAAATGAACATTCAGTCTAAAGGCGTAAATTCGTATTATCTGGCTACGGAGTAGGTTCTCACTTTGTTTTTCTTTGGACACCTCCTGGGTTTTTCTTTAATTTGTTAACTATAAATGTGAAATATAAATATGAAAATGTTTTATGTGTCACTGGCTTTTTCAACCCAAGTCACACATCAGCGACAAGAAAAAGTTTTGTTGATGATAATTTTTTTTAGATAGAATCTAAATCGAAGCCTGGAAACCATGTGGCATACATCCATGTGGGGAACTTTGAAGCAGGTTTCAGGCTAGTGGTTTACTGTTGATCTCTCAGCCCAATTTCATCTTAGCACTATCGCTGAAATATATCTGAAAATAGCTGAATGTTTATTTAAGAAATTATTTTTGAACAGGCTTTCGAAATGGTTTATCTTCTAAAAAACGGCCCCAAGTATTGCTACAACTTTCTTTAATTTTATTACAGCCATTAACTTTCGGCCTCAATCATAATTCTTACTATTCGAAGCGTGCTTTTTTACAGGCATTTTCACGATTCCATTTGGAACTTAATATCACTTCAGTTACGCGTACGATTACTAGAACGAGTTTCACATACATTCACCCCTTTGCATTCGCGTTTCTTGAAACAATAATTCACGCATTCGTGAAATTTTAATTGGAACTTAATAAAATTGTATGTGCAATTTTTTTACACATGCCAACTTTGCAAAATCCTTTAAAAAATCCTGCAAAATTGTCAATGCTTACTTTTTGAAGTAATTTTTATGTGTTCATGCCATTACGTGTAAAATGAATGAGACAAGTTTTATTAGTAAAAATTA